TTAACAATAATGACAATAATAATCATAATGAGACTGAAAATAAAAGATAAATGAAAAAGTGAAAAGAATAATTATAACATGAAATATTAAGGATGATATGGTGAGAACAGTAACAAAAATAACAACAATGATAGTGAAAATGATAATAATAATGATGATGATACTACTAATAATACTGATAACAATAATTACTAATTATTGTAAATAATTATTAATGATGCTAATAATAATGTTACTACTTCTACTACTACTACTGATAATAATAATAATAATAATAATAATAATAACGATTATAATAACATTAATAATATTACTATTACTAACATTAACATTATTATCAGCAGCAGCAGCATCACCACTATCACTAATAATACCATCAATTTATAGTTGTTATTAGTGTACATACATACATACATATATACATACATACATACATACATACATATATATATGTATGTATATATGTATATATATATATATATATATATATATATATATATATATATATATATATATATATATACCTACACACATACATACGCATTTAATTACATTCATATATACATGTGTGTGTGTGTGTGTGTGTGTGTGTGTGTGTGTGTGTGTGTGTGTGTGTGTGTGTGTGTGTGTGTGTTCATTCTGTTTCGTGAAGAGCCCTGGCTTCGGCTGTTTTATCCCTCTATATGAATAAGCAAACAACAAAGTCATTGTTGTTTTTCTTCTTCTTTCAGCCGAGATTTATACGTTCATTAGCTTTTTTATAGTCTCTTTTGTCAAGTTTTTTTTATCTGTTTCTTCGTTTCCGAGCCAACTATTTATTAACTGATAAATGAGACCATTGGCGTAGCTGAACTAAATAAGAGGCTACACTGATTTGCCAGTGATTTAACACACACAGTGTACGCAAAGTAGAAACAATAAATCAGTCTGCTCAACTATACATGTATATAAATGGACAGATAGACAGATAGATGGATAGATATAGATATACATATACATATACATAGATATAGATATCCATTCATTCCACTGCAGGACATAGGCCTCTCTCAATTCAATATTGAGAGGTTATATGGCAGTGTCACCCTTGCCTGATTGGATGCCCTTCCTAATCAACCGCGGTTCGGTGCGTTAACACTTTTGCCACGGCGGGGACTTCCCCTACGAAACCTGCGTATGACTTCTCAAGGCGATATGTCGTTTTCTCGGGCTCGAACCAGCAATCAGAGCGCAGGCATTTTTACGACCGCCGCGACGGGGAATTATAGTCATAGATAGACATAGATATAGATATATATGTATACATAGACAGATCTAGATGTATGTATATATTGATAAATATAGATGTAAATATGATATACATGTGTGTATATGTGTATATATATATATATATATATATATATATATATATATATATATATATATATATATATATATATATATATATGTATATACATGTATATGTATATAAATATATATATGTATATATGTATACATAGACAGATCTAGATGTATGTATATATTGATAAATATAGATGTAAATATGATATACATGTGTGTATGTGTATGTGTGTGTGTGTTCATTCTGTTTCGTGAAGAGCCCTGGCTTAGGCTGTTTTATCCCTCTATATGAATACGCAAACAACAAAGTCATTGTTGTTTTTCTTCTTCTTTCAGCCGAGATTTATACGTTCATTAGCTTTTTTATAGTCTCTTTTCTCAAGTCTTTTATTTGTTTCTTTGTTTCCGAGTCAGGTATTTATTAACTGACCATTGGCGTAGCTGAGCTAAATAAGGGGCTACACAGATTTGCCAGTGATTTAACCTATTGGTGCCGGGTATGACGTGTACGTACGTGCTATGCCCACAGTGAGTACTTGTTTGATTGTTTTTACGCATAGATGGCAACACTTGTACTAACTACCCAATGAGCCAACTCCGAGTACCGCCCGTCTCACCCGTTTACCCGTTTTTTTTATTTACGAAATATTTTACGTTCTCTTATTTTGCTGTTACTAATGTTAAAAAACATTATAAAAAATATAATGTCTATGATGAAAATAACACTATCGATTTTCATAGCAATAGTGAAAAATACATTTTCGCGCCATTTGAAATCAGGCGCTAGCAGAGCCATCTATCGGCAGACATTTCACAAAAAACATAGAAAGTGGGCACAGCATTTTCCCCATTTTTTGTTCATTTTCCCCGGCGGCATTAGGTTAACACACACAGTGTACGCAAAGTAGAAACAATAAATCAGTCTGCTCAACTATACATGTATATAAATGGACAGATAGATGGTTAGATATAGATATACATATACATATACATAGATATAGATATCCATTCATTCCACTGCAGGACATAGGCCTCTCTCAATTCAGTATTGAGAGGTTATATGGCAGTGTCACCCTTGCCTGATTGGATGCCCTTCCTAATCAACCGCTAACACTTTTGCCACGGCGGTGACTTCCCCTACGACACCTGCGTTTGACTTCTCAAGGCGATATGTCGTGTTCTTGGGCTCGAACCAGCAGTCAGTGCGCAAGCATTTTTACGACCGCCGCGATGGGGAATTATAGTCATAGATAGACATAGATATAGATATATATGTATACATAGACAGATCTAGATGTATGTATATATTGATAAATATAGATGTAAATATGATATACATGTGTGTATATGTGTATATATATATGTATATACATGTATATATGTATATAAATATATATATGTATATATGTATACATAGACAGATCTAGATGTATGTATATATTGATAAATATAGATGTAAATATGATATACATGTGTGTATGTGTATATATACGTATATACATGTATATATGTATATAAATATATATATGTGTATATATATGTATATAAATATATATATATATATATATATATATATATATATATACATGTGTATTATATATATGTATACATATATATATATATATATATATATATATATATATATATATATATATATACATATATACATATATATACATATATGTATGCATATATATATACATATATATATATATATATTATATATATATATATATATATATATATATATATATATATATAATATATATATATATATATAGATATATATATATATATATATATATATATATGTATATACATGTATATATGTATATAAATATATATATGTGTATATATATATGTATATACATGTATATATGTATATAAATATATATATGTGTATATATATATGTATATACATGTATATATGTATATAAATATATATATGTGTATATATATATGTATATATGTATATAAATATATATATGTATTTACATGTATATATGTATACATAGACAGATCTAGATGTATGTATATATTGATAAATATAGATGTAAATATGATATACATGTGTGTATGTGTATATATACGTATATACATGTATATAAATGGACAGATAGATGGTTAGATATAGATATACATATACATAGATATAGATATCCATTCATTCCACTGCAGGACATAGGCCTCTCTCAATTCAGTATTGAGAGGTTATATGGCAGTGTCACCCTTGCCTGATTGGATGCCCTTCCTAATCAACCGCTAACACTTTTGCCACGGCGGTGACTTCCCCTACGACACCTGCGTTTGACTTCTCAAGGCGATATGTCGTGTTCTTGGGCTCGAACCAGCAGTCAGTGCGCAAGCATTTTTACGACCGCCGCGATGGGGAATTATAGTCATAGATAGACATAGATATAGATATCCATTCATTCCACTGCAGGACATAGGCCTCTCTCAATTCAGTATTGAGAGGTTATATGGCAGTGTCACCCTTGCCTGATTGGATGCCCTTCCTAATCAACCGCTAACACTTTTGCCACGGCGGTGACTTCCCCTACGACACCTGCGTTTGACTTCTCAAGGCGATATGTCGTGTTCTTGGGCTCGAACCAGCAGTCAGTGCGCAAGCATTTTTACGACCGCCGCGATGGGGAATTATAGTCATAGATAGACATAGATATAGATATCCATTCATTCCACTGCAGGACATAGGCCTCTCTCAATTCAGTATTGAGAGGTTATATGGCAGTGTCACCCTTGCCTGATTGGATGCCCTTCCTAATCAACCGCTAACACTTTTGCCACGGCGGTGACTTCCCCTACGACACCTGCGTTTGACTTCTCAAGGCGATATGTCGTGTTCTTGGGCTCGAACCAGCAGTCAGTGCGCAAGCATTTTTACGACCGCCGCGATGGGGAATTATAGTCATAGATAGACATAGATATAGATATCCATTCATTCCACTGCAGGACATAGGCCTCTCTCAATTCAGTATTGAGAGGTTATATGGCAGTGTCACCCTTGCCTGATTGGATGCCCTTCCTAATCAACCGCTAACACTTTTGCCACGGCGGTGACTTCCCCTACGACACCTGCGTTTGACTTCTCAAGGCGATATGTCGTGTTCTTGGGCTCGAACCAGCAGTCAGTGCGCAAGCATTTTTACGACCGCCGCGACGGGGAATTATAGTCATAGATAGACATAGATATAGATATACATATACATATACATATACATATACATAGATATAGATATCCATTCATTCCACTGCAGGACATAGGCCTCTCTCAATTCAGTATTGAGAGGTTATATGGCAGTGTCACCCTTGCCTGATTGGATGCCCTTCCTAATCAACCGCTAACACTTTTGCCACGGCGGTGACTTCCCCTACGACACCTGCGTTTGACTTCTCAAGGCGATATGTCGTGTTCTTGGGCTCGAACCAGCAATCAGAGCGCAGGCATTTTGAAATTCAGTATATTTAAAAAAGTGATATATAAGATTTGTGTCTTCGTGTTTTTTTGTTTTTTTTTCAGGAAGCCATAGATAATACCCTTTACTTGTTATGTGTAGCATTCTCGCCGACCATTGACGGCACTGGGGACTGAGTTTCCTCCTTCGTGTGAGGAGCAGCTCCCTACCATGTCCTCAGCGTCAGAGTGCCGCAGTCGCCCCACCCTCCGTGTCGTTCCCTGCGGCCGCCCCTCCTTGCAGCGCCGCGAAGGACGCCCGGGCGCACGCGCCGTACACCGTGCGGTCCAGCCAGTCGAGGAAGGCGTCGACGCGGGTGTAGATGCCGGGGAACCGAGGGTCGCCGCAGCCCAGCCCCGCGCTCACCACGCCCACATCCGTCTCGCGCCCGTCCACGCCCAGCACCAGCGGCCCCCCTGAGTCGCCCTGGAACAATCAAGCCCTTTGTTATATATAGCATTAAGTGCGCCAACAGTCATGTACGTCAGAAGCCAAAATTCTTTAGGTCCATTCCATGGCATTGTGAAGCCCGAAGCACAAACCCTGCACACGTCCTTGCCGGTGCCCCCGCCGGCGCAGAGCAGAGTGGCGTCCAGCCCCTGCGGGTAGCTGGTCGTGAAGACACTCCCTGCCTCGGCATACAGGGCGTTGCACTCCTCCTGGGACTTCACGTCGACTTCCAGGCTCGTGAGCAGCGTCGCCGCGAACTCTGCAAGGGATGGCATGCAAGAGCGTTGGATCAGAATTCGGAAATGTTTCAGGGGCAAAAATCAGTGTCGTGCGTATTCTTCACCTTCATGTTTCTAGAACCTCGTTTATCAAGATCCTACAATATATCACATAATGATTCGGTATAAAGTCAGACTCATTCGCAAAGGCTATGACGTTGCCATCTATCGAAGGGCTTTAATTTGGCTCGTGGAGACCGTTGCCCCTCCTAATCAACTAACGCTGAGTGCGTTACCACTACCCCTGTGTGTCCCCCAAGCTAATACTAATACAATATGCATCTTTTTGATGTTGTGGTGATTAATGAACTCCTAATATCAAAATGAAGCTCTGAATAAAAGGGGAGAAGGAGCGGCCCAGCTTGCATGACCACTGGAGCTTTACCGTTGGGTCGCGAGCCCCAGCCCGAGACGGTGCAGGTTCGGCCATCCAGCATCAGCGTGGAGGCAGGCAGGCAGTAAGGCTGCACTAGGGCACTGAACCTCACCTGAAATCCCCAACTTCACTCCCCCTGCTTCACAAGTTATTAATATGCCTGTGTGAGCAGCAATTTTGAATGAGTATGTTCACTCATGTCTATATCAGTGGCCACTCACAGCGATGTCGAAGTAGTTGAAGAGGAGGTTGTATTGCGGGTGAATGGCGACTCTCTGGACCGAGTAGTCGGGTCTGGAAGGAAACATTCAAAGGTGTTGCTGAAAAGCTGAGTGAAGGAGGGATTAACACAACGCCTATTTAAAGGTTAATCTAAGCATAGGGTGATGCCATTCTTTAAAACACGGTCTCATGGAAGCATTTGTTTAACATACAGATTAACATAAGATGGTCTCAGTGTGTTGTCTGGACTACTGCAAGAGCACTGAATTTCATTTTCCCAAATTAAGCATTATATATCATTTCTAGTTAATTTTAATGAACCTTTAATTGTAATGCATTAAGTACACACGTGACATGAAGTGATATCAAGTACGGTGCCAATTTGTAGACTCACCTCCTGAGGGCGACGCAGTGGGCGGCGGTGAGGATATGTCTGGGCTTAACAAGGGCGCTTCCGCAGAAGAACCTGTTGCGGTCATTCCCCTCCGTCACCCTTGTCGGACCCTTGTCGTTGCCGGTGATATAATCGTGGTCTTTCACGTCTTCTTCCTCTCCTTCGTCATCCGTCGTCTTCGTCTCTGCGGGAGGAACAGATGTAACAGCTGCAGAAACCAACATTGCTTCCGTCGTCCCAGCTGAAGGTTCCTCGGCAGCAGCTTCCAGAACGCCCAT